GGGGGGGATGGTGTCCTGTCTGCTTGGGGGAGTGATGCGATGCTGCAGCTGGTGCATGTCTGTGTCTGACGCAAGACGCGTGCGGTGTCTACGTTTTGGCGTGGTTTACTATTGGCAGAGCGACATCATGGACAACGACGGCGAGGGGACGGCGAGCAGGAAACGGGCCAGGGAAGAGGACGACGAGGCGGGGCGCGACCTCCAGAACACGGGAAAGGAGGACCCCGTAAGGTATGCGGGGATGACGGGGGACGTGCGGACCAAGAACCATATCCCGTTGATTCGAGCGATGGCATGGGGCATGTTCAAGGCTGGTTGAGTGTCGGGTGTTGGTCTCGGAATTTGTGTTCTTGTGTCCATTGCGGATGGGGGAAGAAGGCATTGTGTGTTCGTCTCTCGCGAAGTGGGCCGATATGATCGCCGTTCTATGTTGTGCGGTGCACTTTACAGAACGGCTTCCCGGTGGCATCTTGTTTCGATAGCTGCGGAACGCAGGCCCTCGGCGTGCGCGCATGTAACGGTTACCACAAGAGTGCCTTCGGCACCTTTGAGGCCTGGCGCTCCATTAAACACCTACAATGTTTTCGGGGGGTTTTCGTCGAAATGTCGGAACGCAACAGGTTCGAAGACATGGCCCTGGAGGATCTCGATGAGGAGGCGATTGCCAAGATGCTGGAAGAGGCGGATAAGGAGGAAGTGAGCGAGTTGGACGCCACGGGAGTCAAGCAGCTTCTGTTGCAGCTCGAGCGTAAGATCAACCGCAACCAGATGATGCGAGTGAAGTTCCCCGAGCAGCCGGCGAAGTTCGTCGACTCCGAGGCGAGTTTCTTTTTTTGTTTCCGTACAAAACCTAGGAAAATCCATATCGATCCACACACGTAAGAGTCCAGGATAGCGTTATCAGTGCATTCCTGATGTGAGGTTTTGGTATTCCGGAAACCCGTGTGTACTCTGGGGGCGACCTGTGGGTGTGGTGTAGAAATGGCGACAAGAAGGTTGTGTGTGTTGTTGAAGGGGGGGTTCTGCATCCGAGGTGAGTGTGGAATCAGCTGGATGTGAATGCGGATGAAGCAGCGCTGCTGCTTGTGGTTGTCGTGATCGGTGGTGCCTGCGCTGTGATGCGCCGGTTTGGGCCGCGCGGCATGATGCGTGTTCTATCGGGCGTGGCTCCGTTCCATTGAGTACGTGACTGCCGCCATTGCTGGTTGTACCAACATGTTTCGGGGGTTCGGCGGCGTGTCGCAGTTACCGTCGGCCTTTGCGACGAAAAAATGTTCGCAAATCGATGCCTCCCTCTTCTGTCGACTACACCAGTGGTGGTCCGTCCCAATATATCGCGGTGTAGGGACAGACGAAAATCAACGCGAAGTATCCGGACCCACGCTTAGGTAAGGTACCGACCGCTTCAGTAGGCTAGCTTGTTGCGCCAAGGAGTTCATACCGCGATACGTCAGCAACCACGCTGTTCGGGACCGCGATCTATCGGGACCGCTGCGACACCGACATCGCCAACGTTGTGCCCCGCAGGTTGAGCTCGACGCAGCAATCAAGAGTCTCTCTGTCGTCGCCGCCGCGCCGGAGCTTTACCCCGCTTTCGTTGACGCCGGAGCCGTGAATTCCTTGCTTGGGCTATTGACCCACGACAACACGGTGAGCCTTCTTTTTGCTCGTGGGAAAGAGGGCCACCACGCGTGGGTATAGGAAGGGCTGATAATCATTTACACTCGCGAACAGGTTATCAGAAAGTATGCACGACTTTGGTATTGCGGACAGTTCGGACGGTAATAAATCTCGGTCGGTGTCCCGGCTTTTATTGCACCGTCAGTGCTGGCATCGTGCAAGAGAGCTTGTACAAGCCATGTTATACAACGTGTTCCCGGAATTTGCAAAACCTCGGGCAATACCTGCCGCACCTTGCTCTGCCCGCGATGGTACCCAGCAAGCATCCCAACTTTTAACAGAAACCTTGTCTAGGTGTAGAAAGGAGCCTTGGGGCTCCGGCAAAGGTTGGTTGTTTGCTTAACGTCGTGCCGCTTGTCCTACACCCCACTGAACCTTGGTTGATACATACCTGGGCGTGAAACTGCAGTCCTCCGCACCCCCGTCCTTGATGACGCTCTCCCGACGTCTTGCTTTCGTCTCTCCTCCTTCAGGACATCTCCATCACCGTGCTGCTGCTGCTGCAGGAGCTGACGGACTCGGACGTTCTGAGCGAGAGAGAAGAGGCAATGGTAATCGTCGACGCGATCGTCGACAAGCTGGTGCGTGTGCTCCTCTTCCCTCCTTCCCCCCACTTTCAGCTTGCACCCTTCGGGGTGATGATGCACCTCCCCGGCTTGTTGTCATCATCCGGTTTGTCTTGGGGGTGTGTTTGGCAACTCGAGAGGTGGGTCCTCTATTCGATGGCAGTGCAGTACCAGTCGTGCTTTGCTCGGCTTGGTCATGCTTGTTTCCCATCCCTTCCGGGTTGGCAGTATGATGGTTTCATCCACACACGCACGAAAGCGCGCGCGTCGGTGTCCTCAGGCGCGTGCGCGTTGCTCTACTAGTGCTGTTGCGTTCACTGCTCCTGCTTCCTGTGGGCCGTTGCTTTCCGTGAGTCGTGTTCCTCCAAGGTCTAGGCTCCCCCGATTGATCCGCCCCCTGCCGGGTGCAATGCAGCTTCTCGTCGATCGATTCGACGTGCGTATTACAATATGGTATGACTTACGGCCCAGCATGCCCCAGCAGAGCTGGAGGGAGGGAGGGAGACAGGATTAGCGTGTAGCCGGGGCTAATCCCCCGACTTTGTACGTACGCCTACAGAGTGTTGCTGCTGTGTTGACTGTGTTGTTTTGCCCCATTTCTGCGCCAGGGCCTGGAGCTTTTGGTACAAAACCTTAGCCGACTGGACGAGTCCAACGAGGAGGATGCCAAGGGCGTCAACACCACCATGGGGGTGCTGGAAAATCTTTTGGAGGTACCGCCAGCTGCTGCGTCGGTTTGCGGGCTTGTTTTGTTGTTGTTCATGCCATGTATATTCCCGTCGTTACAGCGGCCTACACTGTGGTGGTCTTGTGTGTTTCTCGAAGAGAATGCTCTGATCCGACTCCAGCAGCATAATCCTTGGAGCCTGTGTGATTTTTTAGGTGTGAGTTCCAACCATCACCATGACCATCAATAGCAACAACCACCAACGATGACAAGAGCAATCCAACTCTTGCAAACACAATGCCAACAACTCAGGCACGTCCAACCCTGGGACCGACGCTGTGCGAGCCGCCGATGAGCGTGCTCCGATTCCTGCTGAAGAGGCTCCAGGTGAAGAAGTTCGACGAGAACAAGCTCTATTGCTCCGAGATCCTGGCCATGCTCGTCAACGGCGACACGGACGTCCAGAAGAGATTGGGCACGTTGCAAGGTGAGCCAGCCGGCCGCAAAACAAGCCGCGAAAAATGGGTAGAAGAGAGTCGGAGAGGCTGCGCGCGATGCGAGGTGAGCCAGCCAGCTGCGAAGAATTGGTAGAAGAGAGTCAAGAGACTGGGCACGTTGCAATGTGACCCAACCAGCCGCAAAAACAAGCGTCGACAATTGAAAGGAGAGTCCAAGAGGCTGGGCGCGTTGCGACATGAGCCAGCCGACAAAACAAGTCGCGAAGGTAGACTTGGTAGAGGGAGAAACAACCGAGCGGTTTTCTCAAGAGTGTGAAACGCTAGCGTGCTTCCCGATAACGAGTCCCGGCTTTTGACAACACCAGGAAAGTCTTACGCTAGCAGCAGAGGATGAGTGGTGTGCGTATGCCTTGCATCGTCGTCGCCGTGTCTGCCCCGGCGCGGCGCGAATATTTGCTCTTGCACTTGTTGCGTTGTTGCTTATATATGTTTGCATGATCTCGCGTTAAGAACGGAAGGCAGGCACCGCAAGAGGGGTGGGTAGGGTAGGGGGCCTCAGGAGAGGCATCCTTCTGTGTGACCACGGGTTGGAGTATACCGCACAAATGCTGTGAGGGCCGGGTTGTGGTAAGGAAACGAAAACAAATAATGGTTTGGAATGCTGGCGGTTTTTCGCGGGTGTGCGTGTGCAGGGATGGACGGCATCGACCGACTGCTGCAAATCGTGGCCTACTACCGCCGTCGCCAACCCCAGTCTCCGGAGGTGAGCCGTGCAGCACACGTGAAAGTCCCTCCGTCAGCATGCGCCACTCATTTTGTCCATCGGTTTGGGATTTTCGTGGCGGTGTTGCTGTCTTCGGTCGTTTTTTTCGGCAAACGACAGGCGGAGTGTGCCATGTTCAGCCCTTGCAGATACATATATCGCTTTTGGTTGTTAGCTCTAGGTGTATCGAAAAAATATATATTTGGGGACATTTGGGTAGTGGTGTAGAATATAGTCCGTTTTTGCTTGTTTCTGTTGATGTGTGTGAACGATATGCACTAGCCCCTCCCGGCCCGCTCTCTACGGTTGTACTTTTTCGATGCGATGCATCTCGTTTCAATTCGCCCAATCTCTAATATTTTTGCTTTCCGATATTCGTCGGGACTTTGCTCACAGAAACGATCTGCGACTCGTTGCCGGAAGAAAGAGATTGGCCTTTTTCTTTTCCCAGCAAGCTTTCAGAGCGGTATTGCCTCCTGAGTGCCTGAGCGCCTTTTGCGCTCTCCTCCCAAGTTTTGTGTCCAAGAGAGACTTGAGAGATCCAACCTCGAAACAAATCTGCACCATCTTGCACTTGCTCGTACGTTTTTCGGGCTTTTTTGGTTCCCCTTCGTTCTCGGCGATTGGTTCCTGTCGATGGCTCTTGGGGTCCACGAAATGCCGCACTGCCTGCCTGAGGGACCGACTGGCTTACTGACTGAATAACTGAATGACTGCATGCAAATGACTGAATGACTGACTGCATGCAAATCACTGACTAACTGACTGACTGCCTTCCTACCTTCCTTCCTTCCTTCCTTCCTTCCTTCCTTCCTTCCTTCCTTCCTTCCTTCCTTCCTTCCTTCCGGCCTCGCTGTTGCAACAACCACGGCAGGAAGAGGAGTGCGTTGAGAACTTGTTCGACGCCCTGGCGGCGGCGCTCTTGGTTCCAGACAACCAGCAGCGGTTCCGCAAAGGTGGGCGGGATGGGTGTCCCCGATTGCTTGGATGACGGTGAATCGTCGATGATGCACCGCAACAGCCTTTCATGGAAACATACATGCAATAGTTGAGAGGCTACCCGTTCGAGATACTGTACACATGTCCACGGCCTTTTTGTTTTTGAGTTTGCTTGATAAATGATGAGAAAAGGACTGATGTATCTCCTACGTGTGTGGTTTTGGCTTGTTGTGGGGGGGGGGG